ATTCAGTCTAGAATGCTACTTAATTTGTTAAATTTAGCCTTCTTTTAATGTAGTGGTGTTCAACCTTGGCAACTTTAAGACTTGTAGACTTCAACTTCCAGAATTCCCCAGCCAGCATGGGAATTGAAGTCCACAAGTCTTAAAAATTGCCAAGGTTGAACACCACTACATTAAAAGAAGGCTAAATTTAACAAATTAAGTAGCATTCTAGACTGAATAACTTTCTAGACTAAATTCCAAATAATAGCTTTTGTTTTTTACCATAGGTAAACACAGGAAACATCCTGGAGGCCGTGGAAATGCTGGTGGTATGCACCACCATAGGATTAACTTTGACAAATAGTAAGCTACTTTTCCTTTTTCTCTCACAACTGCCTTCTGTATTTCAGTTTTATGTAATATAAAGAGCAGACCTATGTTATGAACCAAAATCAATGTACCCTGGATACATTTTGTTACCTATTTACTGAAACAAAGCTGTATACAGTTCTATGATATTTGCCCACTATTTGAGTTTTCTGACCAGGTGATGGAAATTGCCCAGCTCAACACATCTAAATGTCGGGGGAAACTGTTTTAATAAAATGTTTAGGATTGCAATTGTCATTTCTAAATCATTATCAGAAGTGACTTACAAATAGCTGAGACTAGAGTCACATCTTGGTGCTGCCAGTGATCATGGTGTGCTATTGTACTCAGAGAGTAACAACTGACCTTTATTCACTGACTGTCTCTTTCCCAACACAGTCAGCCACCAGGTTAGTAACAGAAACTCTAAATGATTAAGAAATTATGTTTTCTAAAACGAAATGATGTAACTAGCCACCATTCTTCCCTGTTAACAAAAACACTTTTATACCTGGCCATTGATGGATCCTGGTGTTTCTGCTTGAAAGTAGAAATAGCATAGGGAGAGAGTAGATGGAGGGGAATAGCATTGAGTACAGGAAATAAGTTTGTAATAACCATATTAATATAATTAGATTTTATGTGTTGAAGATCTAGAAGTCTGCGGAGATTCTTAGTCATCCAGGATGTCCCAAAGGTGCTTTTTCACAAGGCAATTGGACTTTCTTTTTTCTCTTTGAATATGTTTCGCTTCTCATCCAAGAAGCTTCTTCAGCTCTGACTGGATGGTGGGGAATGGAAGGATTTATACTCCTTGTAGACAGCTAATCATTTGCATTCTTTTAGAGAGTCCTTGATGCCATCTGGAGGCTTATCTGTGTCATGAGGGTCACCTGAATAGTGCAAATGGGCGTGGAGACTTCTTGGAACTGTTGAAAGGACTATGTTGTAAACTGAATATCTCCCCCGTTGAGAGAGGGTTGTTCACAATATGACATCATCTATCTTCAGTGTATAACACAGTCCTTTCAGCAGTTCCAAGAAGGTTCCACTCCCATTTGCATACGTCCAGGTGGCATCAAGGACTCTCTAAAAGAATGCAAATGACCAGCTGTCTGGAAGTATAAATCCTTCCATTCCCCACCATCCAATCAAATCTGAAGAAGGTTCTTGGATGAGAAGCGAAACATCTTCAAAGAAGAAAAAAGAAAATCCAGTTGCCTCGTGAAAAAGCACCATTGGGAAGATCTTAGAAGCTTGAACTGAAGACAAAAGGCATTCCTTCTACAAAGTATAGAATACCCTGTGGCAGTGATGGCGAACCTTTTAGAGACCGAGTGCCCAAACTGCAACCCAAAACCCACTTATGCATCGTCGGGTGCCGGGTGGTCGTGGCCCATTGGGTGGGTGTGGCCCATTGGGTGGGCGTGGTTGCGGTGGTAATGGCAGACTGGGTGGGACTAAAAAGTTCAATCAATCAATTCCAACTTTGCAAGATCTTTTTTTTT